TCCGCATTAGCGTGCTCTAGGTCATCCGTGCCTGGAAATGCAGAAGTATTTATTCTGAGAAGATCCTGTCAAGGATCCTCCTTAATTGCTAATGGCCTGGAAAGTGCTTCATCATTCCCCCTCTGACCACATTCTGCTTTTTCCAAATATAGAACACACACACCCCTGGTGAGTACTTATCTTTTTTTGCCTCATTTTGATATTTTTCTTCCAATTTCATCAGTAATATAAATCTTTTTTTCTTGGCTAGGATTGATTTTTCTGTAAATACAATCAGAACAACGTGTTAGCATCCTTAGACATCCAACTATTGGGTTTGTTTTTTTTTTTTTTTTTTTGAGGTGATACGAGCAGCTGAAAACCTTTTTTAATACAGATTAAGTATTTTGTTCTCTCTCTATTCCTTTTCCCCCACCCACAGTTGCTGTAGTTGTTACATGGTTTATTTTTATTAATAGAGATTAATTATTTTTACTAGTTCTTCTTATTTCTGAGTACTATTGTCCCGTGGTCACTTACTCAAGGAAGTAGATTACTGAAAGCTTTCTTATGTGTACTAAAATCACAGCTTTTTGGATAACTGGAAAACTCTCTTCTTTCCAAAGTTCTCCCACTTAACTATGCTTTTTAAATACTTCCCCTAAACAATTTCACTGTAAGAAAAGGCTACATAACACCAGGCCGTTCTCTGTTATGGCATTTTTCTCCTGGGTGATGTCTTGATTTGTTTCTCAGTTGATGCCTTGTCTTTAGGCAACCATCAATCATGGTTTTCAGGAGCCTGTCCATGCATCTTCAAGGAGACAGCACTCTACTGTGTTCTGGGTTAATTCTGACCTCTCCTCTCAAAAGGAGGTTTTTTTACCCATACTTCATGTTCAAGTCCTGGGACACTCTTCTGCAGGTACCTGAGACAGCAACAACCATAAACATATAAAGAATATGGCCTTCTTGAGAATAAACAAAGCTTTTGTAGCAGAAGTATGACGCTTCGGAAAGCCAATCTATCAGCTCAAATCTAGAAATAAGAACAGCTTTCTATGCAGCTTTGATCTCCTCTACCTCTTGGCTAAGAAACAAGGCAAACAGAATAATTGAACAGGTTACCAGGGAAACAAAAGTTGCTCCAGTGAAGGCTGTCAGCATCACATTTAGGCCCATCTAAGGAATCCTCAAATGGGGAAAAGCTAACTCACACAAAGCAGAGTCTGTGGGACAGGTGACAAAGCATCTTCAGCAGAAGGGTGCTGGTGGAAAACAAGAGATCTTAACTGAATGGACAGACAAGTCTGACTCTCTCAGGTCTGAGATCTATAAAATAGACGGGATGCAGGAATGAGTGGAGGGAGGGAGTGGGCTTGCTTAACACAGGGAAGAAGACCTGGGCTACTCAGGCTGACTGGACCCTCTCTAGAGCCGGTAAGAACATCCCCCATTCATGCAGTGAGGTGCAAGGAGGGTGATGCTCTCTGTGGGAAAACCTGGTGGGCTTCATCAAGAAACTCATTGGGCCTGGTCTCAGAGCTATCTTGCCAGACAAGGTCTCTGGAGATGAGAGCTCACCTTTCACATGAGTCCTAGCAAACTTCACTAGAGAAGGGGCAGGGGAGGCCACTCTACATGCCAGAGGATCTGAAACACATCCACTCACTTCTGCAAAATGCCTGGCACTGTTGGTGTAAGTCCCTTGTTCACAGCACAGAGAACTGCATCTCTCACCCCAGGTCAAAGGCTGATCATGTCCCTCAGCAGCTCACAGAGGCAGGATACTGATGAGAAGAGCTGTCCCTGCCCAGGGACAGCTCTTGCCTCAAGGGAGGGTTTTTTTCTGCCACACCTCCTGCTGATATAGAAGTTGCATGTGTCCTCACCTAGACACCAACAGTCCAAATGCTGGGGAGGGAGAAGCCAGAGGAATCACTAACATGTTCTCAGACTGCCCAAGTAACTCTACCAACATGGACTTCTGTAGGGTGGGGAAGCTGAACTGGCCTGCCTAAATATTCAATGTGAGGACCTCACTGCCAGTCCAGAGACATGATCCTAAAAAGATGGTCATGGAGTGATGTTCACGGACGTGACCAGAGAGCAGCCACATCTGAAAAATCCTGAGATGGATGCTGGTAGAGACATGTAGAGCCTGGGTGCATCTTGCCATGGGACCCCATTCAGTAGGACACATCTGTGGTTGGACTGTACTAGGGCAATAAACATTCCCATGAATGCATGGAAACCAAGGGAGACAGGACATGCCAAGGTATGCTCTAGTGCACTAAGGACCACACCAGGCTCAGCTGCAAACATGCTTGTGGGTAAGGACGGTCAGCTGGAAAAAGCACTGACCTAGTCCTCTAAAGTTCATTGCATCAACTCATCAGCTGGGTCAAGAATAGGAAAAGGCCCCCTCCATCCCTGGCCAGGCTGCCCCTGCAACCAAGACTTTGAGAAAGTTTATATCAAACAAAGATTTTTTTTAATGGGCTGGGGTCTAAGGGTTAATGAGGTACACACTATTCCCCGTGAGATTAATACAGACCAGCAGCTGTTCAAAAGATCAAGCAGCCAAGACCTGGGTCTTCACAAGACAATTTTTTTTCTGCTTCCTGAGCAGGCACTGCCTGGTGTCCTGGAAAAGGGATGAGGTTAGGGAAGTGAGAAGCAACACAGCACCGAACAGTTCCATAGGCACCACAGTTCCCAGCACGACTCAGTGGAGAAAAGTAGGCTAGCTACTCCCCCAAAGAACGGAGGAGGAGCCCACAGGGAAGAGTTAAATAAATGGAAGGTCCATGTCTCCTCATCTCCAGCATCAAAAGTGTGGGGTCACCACTGATGGCCAGGCAGATGCAGGGGAGATGGTCCAGCTAACACAGGTGGTCTCAGGCTGTGCTTCCCATGCTGAGAAATTGCTGAGGCAAAGCATTAGTGTTGTGTGTCCTGCCAGTGAGATCTCATAGGCTTTCACACTGGTGGGGGAACGAAGCCTACTGCTGGTGATACAATTCACCAGAGAACAGCATCTTGCACACCTGAGTAGGGGAGATCTCACATTCCTTGCAAATGATGTTCTGACAAGCACAGGGGGAATGGGGTGGTCTGGCACAGGGGAATCTGGCAGCACCAGCCGCTCCTCTGGGCAATGACTGCTCAAGGCAGAGATGGCTGTCCTTCTGCACTTCATGCTTGAAATTTCTCAGTGTACATGCTCTATGGTCCTGTAGGCTTCTTAAGCAGTACCGAGAGGCCAAAATATGCATGTCATGGATTATGCACAGGGGAAGCCAGACTTAGCCAGCCACTCAATCTCTGCAGCACAGAAAGGGTAGAAACCACTGCAAAGAAATGTACAGGAAAAGAGATTTGCATCAACCAAAAGAGCCTCCAGGCAGGATACTGTGTGTGAGGCATCATCACTAGAAAGAAAACGCCCAGATTAAAATACTCCTTCTGGCTTTAGCTCTTTTAGGAAGAAAAATAAATAAGGAAGCAGGAAACAAAGAGAAACAGTTGGGCAAGGCGGTGTGGTGGTGAGGCCCATGGCGAAGGCTCTGTGCCAGGGAAGGCACCGAGGTACGCACCTCCTGTCCACCTCTGCAGCCCCACAGTGCCAGGGCAGGCTCTGCTGCACGGCTGATGTTCCTGTGAAATGCTCTTCTGGCTTCCCTGTGAGTGGTGAAGATGGCCCTCATGAGTCAGAGCCCAGCCACAGCAGACCAGCAGCCGACAAACTGCCATGTCCCCATGCCCGCAGCAATGTCCCAGCTGAGCCCTGGCCTGGAGCTTTCCTTGGCTGCTAACTTCTCCTGCCACTTGCAGAGCCTTGCCTCCCCGGCCCCTGCTTAGCCTGCACTGAAACACCAGCACATGCCTTAACGCGTGTAGCAGGTACAGGGAGAGCCCTCACGCTGCCCAAACACCGACCCTCTGCCCTGCAGCGCGCTGACATGCCAGTGCTCGCAGCACGAGTGCGTGGCAGAATTACCTACCCAAGCCAGACCTACGGACAGAAACTGTTGCATCCCCCAGTCCCCATTTTATCTATCTTACCTAATCTTAGAGGTGATCCAAAAACTCTACCACAATCTAGTTGCTCTTCCCTTCAGGACCTTTTGTAAGAAGCTCTGGAGCTTCCCTTGCCCTGGCTGTGCAGCCTGGGTCCACGGCTCAGTGGACAGCCCTGCAGAACGCGGCTTCTCAGCAGGCTGCTCCCCTCCCAGCCTCCCCTCACCTGAGGAGCACCGGCAACAGCCACCCAGGCCAATGCTATGAGATGGTGGGACAGGGGAACCCCCTCCCCACACTGCAGTTATGCCAAGGTTGGATGTGGGACTGGGGCCAGGTGAGAAAATGCTCTGGGATGTCCTGGTAAAAAGCTGACATAACAGAGGCCGGGCTCTGGGAGAGGAAGGTCCACAAGGCACAAGCCACGTCTGGCTTTGTTTCCAATCCCTGGGCCTCAGCATTGATGATGCTCCGAGGTTAAGAACAAGGCATTCCACACAGCACCAGAACTGGGATCTTGCCACTGGTCCACCTGCCAGCCCCATCCGGCACACCTGAGGGACAGGAGCACCCCACGGGATGCCCCCGCTGAAGTGGACTTCGGGGGGTTTGGCAGAAGACACCCCCCACCTCAAGCCATGTGGTGCCTGTGGCAGCACAGCAAGAGCCCACACCCGGTGAAGCTGTAGAAAACGAAACTGTCCCATTTAATGACCCCTCGCCCCCAGAACACACGCGAGCGCACTGCCGACACACGGCAAAGCAAAGTGCATGGTGAGCGGGACTCTGCCCCAGCCCTGGAGGAGGCAGGGGAGCGCAGGGTGCCCGGCATGGTGCGGGGACCAGCCGGGTGCCCAGCCAGCAGCAAGGACGGCGAGAGCCCCAGGCTCAGTCCAGTTGGCACCAGTGTCAGGTCCAGTTTGCAGGGAGGTACAGCTCTCATTCAGCTTCCACTTGGTGCAGGGAGGGCAGGGGGCAAGTCAAGCGTACCAGGATGGAGGAGATGGGTATGGGGGGCCCAGGCACAGGTCCTGGAGAACGACGCCATGGCAGGTTTTGAGCCTCCCCACCCAAACTGTGGTTTAACCAAAGCAGGGAAAGGGAATAGAGAAGGAGCTGGAGGCTGAGCAGCCTGAGCAAGGGCCCCCAGGTCTATCTAGCTATTCCCATTTGCAAGACATCTGGTGGCAGAAGGGGTTGCCAAGCACCCCACAATGGGAGTGAGCCTTGGCAACAGACGTTTACCAGCAGCTCCACGTCCCAGACAGTCTCTCCCAGGCGTGGTTCTGGCACCCCCGTGCCGGGAATGGGGTCTGAGGGAGCAGGGCCTCCCCTCATTATCTGATGGAAGCATCACTGGGAGGGTCGCGGTCAGACTCCTCGCTCTCCTCGTTCGGGGCCGACTCACTGTTGGAGGCTGGGGTGAAGGCAGGAGACTTTCTGAGGAGAAGAGTAAAGGGCAGCAGTCACAGCACCATCGAGGAGGAGGGAAAGGTCCCAGTTCAGTGTGGGCAGGGGGCACCAGAGCAAGGACGAGAGAAGCTGAAGTGCTCCTCCTGCTCTCCTGGGACATGCGTGGGTCCAAGGGAATCCCTGGGTGCTGGACAGGGTGTCCCAGAGGATGAAGCAAGGCCGGGGGAGATGCCCAAGGAGCCTGCCCAGGACCATGCTAAGGCACGTGAGGCTAGGGCTCAGAATGAAAGCCCACCACGGAGGTCCCCAGCCTGGAGCC